GTTTAACCCTTGTTCAGCCCGAGTCTAGCCCGAATTGAATTCGAGTTAAACCTGGGTTGAGCCCGGGTTCGCGCCCTGCTAAAAAAAATGTGCATCGATTTTCGTGTTAATTGCTCGCACGCTGAACCATAACAATATGAGTGTCCTTTCACGCTAAAGTTAACGTTTCGGATGCGCCAACGTGGTCTGTTTTGCCATCCGAGGTCGTCTAGACAAGTTTGCTGACAATCAAGTCACAATTCAACATCGTGTATGCCGCAGTGAGTGCATAAATTGCCGCGTTCGCGAGTATTCGAGTCATGGAGGGTTCACCTATGACTGTTCAATCCTGTAGGAACTCATTTTTGGGCCCTCTATATGTTAGTCCTTAGCCCTTGCAACTAAAAGATGAGTGTTTGGGACTATTCATGCGATGTCTGCACAAAAATGAGTCAAGAAGTGGCTCAAAGTTCTATTGGAGGTGGGCTCCATTACTAGTCTGCTAGGATGGTCAACAAGAAACTCCTAAAACTAGATCCTAGGATCTAAGTGTAGGAGACTAAAACCTCTTGAAAAATGAGGTCAACAGTTTCTCCAGAAGAAAGAGAAAGCAAATTGACATTCTAACATTAAAACAGAAATATAAAACAAGTCCAACATAAATTCTCAAAGAAAAAGAAAAACAGTGCTCATATATCTCTTATTCCCTAACTTCACCTGATTGAGGAGGGCAAAATAGAAGCTACTAATTTATCTAGCATATAACCTTCAATTATGCATTAGAAAATATACATTTCCAGCAGTATAAATCTTCCAAAAAAAAAAAAGAACCACTGATAAAATGTCTCCCTCTCCAGCCAAAACGTTTCTCTAGAGGCAAGAGTAAGCAAATTGACATTCTAACATCAAAATAGGAATATACAAAACAAGCCCAACATAAATTCTCAAAGAAACAGAAAAAAAGTGCTCATATACCTCTCATTCTCTAACTTCTCCTAATTGAGAAAGAGGGAAATAGAAGTTGTTAACTTATCTAGCGTATAAACTTTAAATATGCAGCAAAACATATGCATTTTCAATGGTATAAATCTTTTAAATTAAGAGAAAAAAAAACCATTGCTTAAATTTTTCCCCTCAAAATGTTTCTCTACGCTGAAGGAGAGGCAAAAACAAGCAAATTGACATTTTAGCATCAGAACAGGAATATATAAAACAAGCCCAACATAAATTTTCAAAGAGAAAGAAAAACAGTGCACATATATCTCTCCTTCCCTAACTTCATCTAAATGAGCATGAAGGAAATAGAAGCTGCTAACTTATCTTGCATATAACATTCTAGTTTGCATCAAAACATACACATTTTAAATAGTGTAAATCTTTCAAATAAAAAATCACTACTTAAATTTCTCCCCCCAAAATGTTTCTATAGCCTGAAGAAGAGGCAAGAGCAAGCAAATCGTACTTCTAACATCAGAACAAGAAAATATAAAACATGTACAACAAAAATCTTTAAAAGCCCGAAAAACAGTGCACATATATATATCTCCTTCCCTGACTTCTCTTGATTGAGCAATTTTTAGTCAATCTACCCCAATACAGAAGCCGAACAGAGCAATGAAGCAGAGGAAAACCGAAAAAGAAAAAGGCCATAAATGAAAACATACCCACCCTAGCAGCTTGTCGAGGACAATGAAGAAGGAAGGCAAGTGTTCAATCAAGTTTCTGCCATAAAGACAGGTGACAACCGAGGGAAGGGGCAAGGGGTATTTGTGGGGATATAGGTGAGGTATTCGACGAATTAAAGAGAAGCAAGGAGAACATATACCACTCCGAACGGAGTTCCAATGTCGGAACACAGAGCCCTCCCTTCGTTTTGGCTTTCGCCGATCTGCGGTCGGCCGTCCATGAAACGCACGCGAAATCGGGCTCCCAAACATCACACTTAGCATTTTGGGATTGAGAAGCCAAAGAAATGGGCTCCCAAACACACCCTAACTCAAGTTAGTGTGCTATATATATATAT